GAGAGAGAGAGAGAGAGAGAGGTAACAGGTAGAGGATGTTTCAGGTGATGAGTGCCCAGGTTCTGATTCAACATTTGAGGGGCAGACATTGGTGGACATCGGACGGTGAGACTATTTTGGACAGCAGTATTTCAGACTCTTGTCTACTCCCTTTCCTCTTCACCTTCGTCCTGCTTCCCTTGTCCATCGTCTGCGGATTTCTCGCCATGTGTGCATTGCAAGGTGAGATCTTTCCTTCTGTGTATGTTCCCCGCCTTGCTATCTCCCATGTGTGATGATGCAGCTGGTAGTAGAGTCTCAGTCCATCACATCAGGTCATGTTTTGAGTCTTCCACTGTGCTACATTGACTTATTCTGTGATTGTATGGACACATTGTTTCGTTGATGATGTTATGTATGTCCGAGTCCTTGTCATCACCTTGCTGGTCCCTGGCTTTATTGCATTGCTCTTGATGAAAATTACCCTTTTTAGTAAGTTTTACTAACTTTTTTTTAGGGCTTGTCTCATAGTTTCAGTTTTTTTTTTTTTTGGGAACGGGAAAGGGCAACTTTTTGGAAAGATGTTTCTTTGTTTCAGTGAAGCATGCCTCTTTGTCAACAGTTTTCTAGAAGTAGTTTGATGATGCTCGGGTTTTGGGTACACTGCATTTTTCTTCTGTGGGACTGCAAAATTTGAAATGTTATTAAAAGTTGATTGTCTGGGTGATGAAGGCAAGACAATTAATTTGTGACGATGGGTGATTTTATTTTTTTCCGGAACTGGTTTTCATTTGCAGGCAAACACGATCTTGAGTACAACGTCAAGTCTCTTCACTTTCCTGCTGTCGGTGATTTTCCTCCGGGAGACTTTCACCTGTTACAAATTACTCTGTGTCTTTCTCTGCATGGTAGGGACAGTAGTAGTGAGTTTGACAGATACTGATTCCGCGGGATCAGGGTCGGGACTGCAAGCGCATGCACCTACCGGCGAACACTTGATTGGTCGGTTCCATGTCAGCCAACATCTGATTGGGGATGCTCTCACTGTTTTTTCGGGTTTGATTTACTCCATCTATGCTAGCCTTCTTAAGCAGTCGCTTCCCGATGAGAGCCGTCCTCCTCCACAGGTTCAGTCTTATCCTTCGTCTTCTGCAACCCTTGGCTATGGTACTGGGAAAGAGAGAGAGAACGACATTGAGAGGAATGAAGGTACCATGCTGATTAATGGAAAGAAGAGGTCTGTGAAGGTTGCGGAGGTATTCGGTTACATTGGTCTCTTCAACGTACTGCTGTTCTGCCCTGTCGTTCTGACTGCTCATCTGCTCTTCGAACCGATGTCAATCACTTGGAGCCAGTTCTTACTCATGTTTGCTAAAGGTGAGGTTTCACAGTTTGGTAGTCTTCCTCGCTCGCTACCTCTGTCATTG